GGATTCACCAGATGGGTGCAAGTGTTGTAAAAAAAAGGGGTGGAAACGCATACCTAGAGGTATGTGTCAGTCTTTGGGATTTGGGGGGTGCTTGGTCTGAGTGACTGAAGAGTCTCTGATTGAGATGTGAGCTGGTGGAGACCGCGGAAGACTAAGACCTGCTTCAATCAATCACGTTTTAGGTTGACCTCTTAAACACTCAAAGAACTGTCATATACTGATACTCTTATTACCCCCCTGCAGACTAACATGGACCCTGAACATGACCCCATGGTTTCGACCATTTTCCGAATACCAATGGTCTTGAGTCCATGTGGTCCTCGGAGGGTCGAATCCCGCTCCTGTCCCATATCCTCAGGTTCGGTGCTTAGACCCCCAACTCGACCACCCCAACCACCGAACCTGAGAACTTCCAAGAAGCGAACCGACAGGAGTCCCAGCGAACGGGGGTAGACGAACCTCCACCGTTCCGGAACGGCGCGCAAGCTGCGCTCAAACGGCAAAGCCGGGCGGGCGTGGCAGGGGGGCGCCCCAACTCTGCCACGGCTCTGCCCGTGCCGCTTGGAATCCCTTGGAAGCCTTGCGTTCTCCAGGATTTGCTGATTTGGAAAAAGAAAAGGGGAGGAAGCCCATAAACAGTAAAACACAAATCATCCTGGTCCTATAGGCCCACTATAGGCAAATCCAAGTATCCTGGGCACAGAATACTAGATCTAATAGAATGTTCCAGGCATTTCTCCGACTGTGGAGAAAAAGCTGCACTCAACAAGTGACACATGTCCAAATATGTTCAAACCACTTGCACTACCTTCAACAAATAACGGCAACAGCAACCTCCAAGCCAGCTCACCCCCACAACAGGTCACTAGGGGTCGTTGACACTTGAAGCGCACACATCTGCCCAGCACCTCTGCTGTCCCAACGCCTGGTGATCACGCAGCGGAATTCCTCCGGAATGTCGGACCTGGCACTGTCGACTGGTCGGGCTGTTGAAGGTCGATCCCATGAGATCCTGTTGCGAAGAAAGGAACTTCAGCAGCCCTAGGGCTCCAAGTACTTCCTCAGAAGGTATTTGGACCCCTCAAACCCACCCCAAACACCTTCTGAGGAAGTATTCGGAGCCCTAGGGCAGGTGATTGAACGTGAAATTGTATCTTTGTCTCTGAGCAGATGAAGCAAGGGGCCCATCGAAACAACACCTGGCAAGAAGCTGAAGAAGAAACTGGCGTGGTAGAATGATGTAGAATGTCCCCCTGCGAGTTGGGGCTGCAAAAGTTGCTCAACAATAACGGTGCACTACTACCGACCAAGCTTCCTACAAAGGTTGGATTCCTTGTTAGCTGCATATGATCACAGGTCCAACACGGCCGGTGTTTCAATCCAATGAGACCTACCTTCCCTAGGGCTGTCTCAGGTGGTTAGACCCCCAAAAACATACCCCAACCAACCCATGCAACGTCATCCTACTCGCACTATCCGACTCTGAGAACCCGTGGCCTTCACATCCCCAGGGCGAGGACGTGCTTTTGGGACAAATAAAGGGGCTTTTTGTTCGCATTGGTTGAATAGTGGTTTCAGAGGTTCGATGGCACCAGGGCCCCCGAGTTAGGTGGTTGAAAGATGGACCCCCATCTAAAAGACATCCAAGGTATATGTAAAGGAGTTTACAGTTTTACGTTTCACCCATGGCCGTACACTGGCGGGTATCCTCTCTATAAATTAGCGTTGATGGTGAAAAATAGTAAAAGGCCATCTATGAATATCCAACCCCAAACACTCCAATGCAGGGTGCAGTGTAGGGTTTCAGGGTTTCAGGGTCCAATGCAATATATATATATATATATATATATCAGGAGTCACATGTCGGGGTGGTGTTTAGTCCCCAAGTGAGTGGATAATAGGCACCCCTAACTTACCCTAACCTCCATGGATCGCACCCCTTTGTGACTGCTGATATAGGCATATATTAGGATCCAGTCCCATGGAGGTCTTTGGGAACAGGCTGCGGTCGCCCTGCGGTCGCCCATGGGCGCTCAGCTCGTGACTCGGCGATGTTCATCTCCAACCTGAGGGAACGAGACCAGTCACACCACGTGCGAGCCGGACCTGGATCTGTACCATCCAGATTGCCTAGATGGTTCTTAAATGCTGGTTCTGGGTATAACACACATTTTGGCTGGCTTTATGGAAAAAAAAAACAGAAACTTTGCATAGTTTCAAAATCCAGGACTGTCCAAGGAAAGCTGTCGAAATCCTGCAGAACCTTGAGGATCCTTCAAGCTTCCCAGTGGGGGATGGTCTCCAACAATCAGTTGTATGGGCCTTACAATCAGTTATATTAACATGTTATAACCAACACAGCAGCTGGAGTTCACATGTTTTTGTGCCAATGTCAAGTTGAACGAAGTCTTTCGAACCCTGCCGTCCATCGATTTGTTCTTTTGAACGAAGTGGAGAGCACCTCTCTTCAGCGACGATCGTCCGTTTCTGGGATGTGCGGGAGGATCTTGCGATGTTCTCGCCTGAAGAAACGGGGTATTCAAGGGAAGGTCTGGTTGGAGGAGGACGTGTCACGGGAAAACATATAAGAGACATGGTTTCTCTTGGGGTCTGCATAGTAGTAAACATGTTGTTCATTGTTCTTCCAGAGTTCTCGCTCAATGAGAGGAAGGGCTCTGATGAAAGCAACCAACCAATATGGACACATAACCGTTTACCTTTGTTTGACCCATCCACACTCTCAACGAACACATCCCTGAAAAACATCCAGCTCCAGTGAACTGAGATCTCTCACGATTCACACCACAAACTCTGCTGCTCAATCAGATCCACATCTGGGTCGACCGTGCCATCTGACATACCCGCTCATCTGCATGGTCTGGAGCTCACCCACATGCCACCAGGTTTCCAGAATCCGTCTTCAACAGCTCCCTGCCGTCCCTCAGGCAGGGTGCCCTGGGTGGAACTTGGAGTGGTTGGTGCGACCGGACCAAGCGGGGACCAACCGGTGAACCAAAAAAAATGAGAACAGACTACCAAAGAAGGTGTCAACCTCACCAAGCGCGCTTTTTTGCGCGCGGACTGAGTTCGCAAAAATGGCCCTAAGAGGGTTTGGTGGGTGCGGTGCCACCCAGAGCTGGGTCGACTGGGCCTCTGGGTCCTCAAACCACCACGCCTTCCATCGCTTCTCGTCGCCCCCCCTAGGTCCCCAGCGGAACCACATTCTCCGGGCGCACACGGATGCTGCCCTTGCCACCCTGCGGGGTACAAAGAAGGTGGGAACAGGGAACAACTGCTTCTAAAAAAATAACCTACATTCTCACCCTTTCTGGCCCCAGTCGTCTGGCCGACGCACGGAACCCCTGGTACATGAAAAAAACACCATGCACGGATCGGCCCGGCCTCGAGGGTGAGTTCCCAGCGCCCGGTGCGCACGTCCAAGGCCTCGGTGGCCACCGGTCGGCCCGGTGCGACGGACGGCAAACGAGCTGGAAAAGCTCCGTGTCTGATGGGTGGAAGCGGATTCTGACTTGGTGGAGCAGCCGATTTTGGGGGGTCAGTTCCAGAAAAACGATTCTGGAACAAACAGCTGAAAATGCGGACTGGGATCCATTGATCAGACTGCCATTGGAAAGGTGTGTGACGTTGGCATCATGACAAGCAAGGCATTGTTGGCATTGTGTCTTCAAGTTGGCAAGGCTGGTCTCCTGAAGCTGTTGTGGTTCCTCCCACCAAATTGCCAAACCTTTCACCCCAACGCTGTGTTGGAAGAGCTATTGATGTAAAACAAATATATATATATATATTGTATATATATATATATAGGATTGTATAGGGAAATTTGCAGGCCCCAAAGTCGTTATAGGCTCACCCTGGTGACAACTTGTGCACGCAAGGGTGAATCGTTGATTCATAACTCCCCCATAGAAGAGCTTTTACAACCCAAAAAATGGAGGAGGGTGATTTACAGTATCAAGATTCTACAAAACGTTTTGAGGCATCATAGGGCATATGATCTGTTTTTCATACCTTTCCCCGTCTTTGTGCCCATGAATGAGACCCAAACAAAACACTAAGAGCTCCTACCAGCACCTTCCGGGTGACCACTGTCGGACCACCTTCCGCACGACCTCTTCGGACCAGCACCGTTTCCCGTTGCGAAGAGGTCGTCTGAAGTCAGACACGTTGGAAGGAATTCACTGCTCCTTTCGTCTACGAGGTTCAAGGAATTCACGGGCTATTTGGGACATATGAGCCTAGTATAAACCAGTTGCCTGTGCACTAGAAACTCCACGAGAAAACCCGCTAAAACGTCCCGGACAAAACCCCCGCGCTTTGTCCACGCCTGTGCCTGACTTGCAGGCTCCCATCTCTGTACAAGTCGGACAAATAATCTTCACTTGCACTCCCTTCAGGAGTGCGTTGCTCGCTCGCGTTCCGGGACGTACAAAGCATATGTGCAAGCTGATAAACCTGTTCCCACTCCTGCGTCAGTGGGATTAACTTGCTTCATGAGTAGAGGTTGACAACACATACCACTGAATTGGACACCACTAGCTCAACCCTGACCTGCACCACAGCACTACCTTTGTGGCGGGACAGCCAAAGGCTTTGCCCTACAGTAGGGGGAGTCGGAAGACCTGAAAGAGGCAACTCCGGCCCCTTCAACACCTATCCCCAACCAAAAAACACCATCAATGGCGAAGCATAGTCCCTCAAGGCAAACATAAGGAAATTGAATGAAATTGAAATCCAGCAGTTCTAGCTCACGGGAATCTGATGCAAAGCCTCTTTTGCGCTATCAAGTTTCGTCAGGAGTCTGAGGAAAGAATCATGATAGCATGGCATATACTGTTACTCCCTTTATCTTGCTTTTTTATGTGGGATGTTTCATATCCTAGTCTAGTCTATCTGCAATGACTGCGCCTCCTGGATAAATTAAAGGCGAACCTGTTTCCATCTGTTCAATCGGGGGGGGCCGTCTTCCCCCCAAAACGGTTTTGCACACGATCCACTGACGTCTTCGGTAGTGGACGACGGGTTTCTCAGCGTTAGCGTCACCCGTTTAATCCACTGCTTCGCTGGGCCGGACGCGTTTCTTGGCTTCCTCAGTGGAAAGAGGGAGGCGCCGGCGCCGTGAAAAGCCCAGTCTCTCCACGACTAAGATGCTGGAGAACCTTGATTCCTGCATTGACCCGGACAAACCAGGTATACGTAGGTATACATGATAAAATTTATAAAATGGAGTGCTTGGGTCCTAGCTGTTGACACCCAAAGCAATAAGGAAGAGGAGTATGGGAAGGTTAGTCTTCTTTGCATGCGGTCATTGTCCATCTATATAATACATCCAAGGTATAACCTATAAGGGTGGCTAACAGTCATGGCATCATATGTCCAACTTCGTTCAGGTTCGAAGCAAAGCGTTTAATAGTCCCTGAAATCATGGTTCCGTGGATGGCATGCAGTATCTTGGCCTTGGGCCTGGGATGGCCTGGGGCCTCTGTGAGATGAGAGAGTCTTCCGCAAACTCATGAGCATCTTGTTGGTGTCAATGACACCCAGGGGAGCATGCAGGAGCACGAGGAGCAAACACAAATTTGGCTCAAACATTGTGCACTGACTGAAGGAAACTCATCAAAGGATTGATTGTGAGTCTGGTTCTCGGTCTTCATCTGACACACTATGACCTATTTGATCAATGTATCAACAGTGTGTGAAACACAACACGCACAAACCTGGACTATTTCCCTCCTACCTCCCTGTCAGAAAACTCTTGCTTCCAAAGTGTCGTAAGCTTCCACGACCTCACCCAAAGGAAGGGTCAATGATCTACAGAATGTCTCACATGGCCAACCCTCCAAGTTTCTACATCAAATGGATAGATCAAGAGAGATCGAAATACCTTGCTTGCTTCATGCCCACACGCAATTCGCAACCTGCTTCTTGGGGATTGCAGCTGGCTGACGGTGCCAGCTCAAAATGAAGGCAGCGATGCTCTTAGTCTTTGTGTGGGTCTTCCATCCTTTTACGTGGAGTGAGTTCACCACCTGTTTGCTCTGGAAAAGGCTCGTTTCGATTGCTTGGGGCTAGGTTGTCCACATGCCGTCCCATGAGGACGTTGGCCCGGGAGTGATAGCACTGCCCCGACTCTCGGTCCCTCAGTTAAAAGCTGAAGTGACCAATGTCTTACCCCGCATTTTTTTAATGCAGTGATGATGTTCTTTGTCTGTGGCTATCGCTCCAAACATGGATAACCTCTCACACAGAAGTGTCATACAAACGTCAAACATCACGTCTTCTAATGCTCTGTACGTGATTGCTCTTTGTGTCCATATTGCTCCTTAGAACGCCGTCATAGCCCTTAGCCACATCAAAATGTGTCTAAACGACTGCTTGAGACTGATGAAGTAGGACCCCGCTGCCCTGCCTGGTTTGCATCATAGGCTTCAGCTTTGAGGGCCTACCACAAACGTGGACGAAGCATGACAAAGCCTCCTTCACAACATGGGGAGGTGGGCTGACGATGCTGATGGTTGGAGATCAGATTGTGTTTGTTTAACTTGTACAACGTCTTAAGTCCCTACACAAACCATTTTGGATATCTCCATCTTCTGAGTCACTTCCATCTTCTACTCCAATACAGTGATCTTCTTCTTTAAGTCATCTCTCCCACCACTTCCACGCCGTCCCGTCCCGTCCGCCTGGATGGCAGCGATGGCCTTCTGCCGCTCTTGAGCCGCCGCGCGCTCAGCGGAGCGCGCGTCCTTCAGGGCGTCCTTCAACGCCTCCTCGGTTGGGACGCTCGAGGAGGAAGCGTGGGATGGCCAGAACAGCCGCATTCCCGTAAGAACTTGAGGGTCGTGCTAGGGGCGAGTCGTGCTGCGTACTGGTCAGTTGAGTCGTCCAAGGGTGTGCATGATGGGCTGTATTACCAACTTGTGGAGCAAAAAGGTTCTCGGATGCCCAAGCAAATCATTTCTTGGCGGAAACAGTCCATACGATGAAGCTGAGTTGCACTCTTATCATCTCTTATCCTTATCCAAAGTCTCAAAAACAACTTGGTAAGGTTATTTTCATTCGAAGCTTTTTGGGGATAGCAGCGGGGTCAAGGAAACGTACAAAGCTCAACAAGTCCTTGGATGGCCCCGAAAAAATAAATTGGTCGAACGCTGAGACTGAGGGGGCGCTCCAATCCCAAACACTTTATGTATGGCTCAACGTTATATTCCCATTTCCAGGTTTCAGTGGATGACGATGGGGCCTGGTTGCAGGCTATCCCTAAAAGAGTGATCTTCTTGTGAAACCCGACGGCTCTACAGGCAAGTTCGGACACACCCAAGGTATGGCATATTACAGTCGTTTCAGAGGTTCGATGGCACGCCTGGGCCCCCCTTGTGTGAGGTAGTTGAACCATGGACACCCTGTTTTTGTTGAAAGCCATTTCGCTCCCGTGGATCCTTTCAGGCCGATCTTCACTGGGCAAACATGGAAAGTGGAGTGTGGGAACACCCTGTTTAGTAGAGGTGGCCATCCTCTAAGGATGGCCTATGACATCCATGTCTGTCCATGTCTGTAGCCCAGGGAGTGGCCATGATCCTCCAACTTCCGAAACCAAGAGAGGTTAAGTGACCTGAACTAGGACCCGTAACCTGGGGGACCCATAGGATAGCCTATAAGGTTTTTCAACCTCTGCTGGAAGGAGGGGAGAATCATCGCTCTTGCTCCATGGGAATCTTGCCTCTTGCTCTCGCCGGAGAACCTGATGATGTTTTTTTGGCTGGTCACGACCGATTTGAGCGAAGGTCACTGCAGTGAGAAACGCAGGACCCATCTCTCTCTCTCTCCCTCTCTCTCTCCATCGCCTTCTCGAAGAGTTCAGCTAAGCTAAATGCGAGTGAAAACAACCGCACCACAAGGAAGATAGGAGTGTCAGCAGCTGAGGGTGTCAACAAGCTGCTTCATTTCTCCCACCCATATGCCAAGTAGGCGGGACATTTCAATAACAATGCAAGTTTGTTGAAAGATTTCACATCGAAAGGGCGCCTCTATCAATAGGTGATCCGCATGGATGTGGTCAGCGGATGATTCAAACAGCGTGTTCGCAAGTTCCTCGACCAAACTGGCCGCTGTGAGACTCCAGGCAACAGAAGTGTGCTTCCTCCACCCTGCGCTTCTGTCAAGTTCCAGGATATTCAAAATGCCAGCGGGCCCAACATCAGCTACAAAAACTTGCTGCCCGTGGTAGGCTCCTTGCAAGCACCGCTTCTCCCAAAATGTTTGTCAGCTGGTACCGCGAGCACATTGGCAGGGTGGGCTTGGATATCTAAGCCGTTGTGGCTAAGCCAATCATCTTGTAAGCTCTGCCAAGATAAGCGGTCCAAAGCAGTTTCCAAGGAGATGCCCCGCTGTGAAGGCTGGCCGTACTCTGCAAGCAAAGCAAAACGGAACGGACCAAGGAAGTGGGGGGGCATGCGAAGCATGTGGCCAACCCAGCACCACACCATGCGTGCAAGAAGCCGATCCCAAGTTTCAGTGAAGTACGCCCCCACAACTTAACCGCATGCCGAAGAGCCTGAAGGCATTCCACAGCAAACCAAGAGGGGTGAGCACGACCTCCCAGCATCCAAGTGAGGAGCGTGACGAAATTGCACCCGCAAAGACGTGAGGTTGGATTGTTTGACAAAGACAACGCCACAAGGACCAGCGAATGGAAGCAGTGCCGAGGGAAGTTAACAATTCCAGGCGACTGCGGGGAGCAAGCCCGTGCGAAAACGCAACGGACGGTTAGCAAAGAACGCAGACGTGGCACGGCGACACAACGAAGAAACCATGTGCGCATCACCCTCAATGAGCTTGATGGTTTGCCCCAAATAGGTGGACCAAGAGCGAACGGAGTAACCAGCCAAGCAAGGAGGCAAGGCGCAAGGGATGTGAAGGCCAAAGAGGCAAGACTTCGAGACATTGACGGCCAAGCCCATGTCAGCAAAGAGTTGGAGCACTTCAGGGAGAAGCCGAGAAAGCTGGGACAAGTTGCGGATCGCATCGTCAATGAACCACAAAGCCCAGAGCGACAGAAGGTCTTGAAAGCGACCGGGCTGTGGCTTCCACCTTGTTGGGTGCCCCGCTGCCGGCACCACCACACAGAATCAAAGAGCTGAAAACGCAACAAGGAGTTGAGTAGTGAGGTGAGCACATACAAGCCAAAAGACACGGAAACCAAGGCCCGAAGCAGTTCGACACTGACTTTGGACATCCCCGTCGTTTTACCTGTCTTGAGCTGGCCGACAGCCTGAAGAACTTCACCTTCTGTGAATTCAGGTTCAACATCGGGGAGATCACTAAAGGACACCAATGAGGCACCAGGGCTCGCAAAGCGAGCCGCAAAGTGGTCATGGACGTGGGCCACAGCCCTTTGACATGATCCAGCTTTGTCAAGCAAAGGTTTGCAACGCAAGCCAACTGACATCGCCCCCTGGCGATAGAGCAGCCGCCCAGTCACCGCAAGCTGCAGGGGAAACAAGGGTCCGCTTCCACTCCTTTTGTTCAAGTTTGCGTGTGCGATGGATGGTCAAGGAGAGGTGGTGGCGACGCGCAGGGTCGGCGGAAACACTACGGTCACGACAAAGCTGACGTAAAGCAGGATAGTCACAATAGCGAAGAGCATGGGTCCGTGCAAAGCACTGAGCAGCACACCCTACAAGGCATGGGATACTGCGATCATACAACATTGTTCCACTGTTCTATTTGGGAAGGCTCCATTGTTCCACATGGGCTTCATTCCCCACGAAATGGCCATGCCAGCAGCTATCCGCCAAGATGCGTCAGCCTGCGCGTAGTGTTTGTACAACGCGGTCCTGCAGCACCACAAACACCCAAAGGAACAACATGTTGGCCCAGTGGGCCCGGTGTCGTCGTACCTCCTCAGGTTCGGTGTGACTAGACCCGAACATGGCACCCGGGCCCCCAGTCCCACCGAACCGAAACGAAGGTGCGTGCTTGGAGCCCTAGGGATTGTATACCATATCTTTAAAACACAAGCACTAACAATAACAATATTCACGACAACAAATGGTAGCCTTGTTATGCTATGTGCTACCCCCCAAAACGAACAACTACTGAAGTGCACAATTCCTCATGTAACATATGTCCTGTGCACCATGCTGTCTGTCATGACCCGTGGACACCTCCCTGAGAGCAAACATATATTATTGATTGCTGTCAACATCTGCCAACATCTCTCCTTACTTTGACAACCAACCGGTCTACCCAACTCCTTTGACATTAGTTTTATGTCATAGATCCATGATAATCCGTGCATATATAAATCATATAAATCCCATCTCCCGTACCCGAAAGCCCGGACAAAAATTCAACATCCCAATTCAACATCCCATGCTTTCCCACCGCACCGCACCGAACACCGCCGCTCCCGACGAGTCTGCGAAGCTCCTCTCGGCCGCCGCGGTCTTCTCCGCGAGGCGCGCCGACTTCAACGACTCTTTGGCCTCGCCTTGGGAGAACACGAGGACCGTGGTGGTTCGTGCGAAGCGAAGAATCAAACGGATCCCGGTGGACGAGGGTGACGGGGAGAGAACGTGTGTCATTTGATTGCCTTTTATGGTCTTTTCATTGATGGGGGGGTCCAAGTGAACAGCCCTACTCACGAAGAACAATAAGGTGTGCCAACATGATATTCCAACTTTGCAGAATGTGTCGATCCACATATATGTTCTTCATCTGACAATGTGTCCTTTTCTGGTGCGTACTCACGTACTCAAGGGGCGCTTGGTGTCGATGCGACAGGCTCGGTTTGTTTTTGTCCACTGAATCCCGTCCGTGTTCGTTTGTTCTGGTCGACTGGCTTTCTGTCTTCCGTTGGTGACTTAATGACCACATGTGAGACCACTGGTTTTCACTGGTGTTTGGAAAGTGACCACCGGGTTTTGGTGAAAGTGATTGTACCAACCACATCCTCAGGTTCGGTGGTTGGGGTGGGTGCCAGGGGGAGTCTAACCACCTTCTGAGGATGTGATTGGAGCCCTAGAGGTATAGGAAATCTCCTCCGTCCAAGTGACCAGGAAGCCAAGCGAGCAAGGAAAAGGAGGGGTGCTCTCGCGGGCGCACCGGTGATTCACATTTAAAGGATGGAAGTGAAACATGGAATGTTTGAATCAAAACGGAACACTGGCAAAGGCTGTTCCTCTCAAATAAGGTGTTGCTGTTGACCGTACTTTCAGTATGATGTTTCTTCGATCACTGGCACCCTGTTCGGTGTCTTGTAACCGATGTCTTTCCTCCTAGGAAGGTGCGACTAGATCCCGAAGGAAGCAGCGGGTGTATCTCCTTCAGAGCTGTTCCGAAAGATTCCAGATTCTCCCGGGTGGACTGTCGCGGATTCTGTCTGCGCCCCAAGTCGCTGATGCTCGCTCGCCACTCGTCCCGTTTTCGCTTCCTGCGCTGGTGGGCACACGTCCCGCGGGGTGGGCAGTAGTTGAGGCAAGAGCAGGCAGTGAACACTATAGCCAAAGTATCAGCTACATAACTTTGGTTGCAAGTGTGTTCAGGAGGAACTCGCAAAGGACCACACCATACTCCGAACAAATTGCCGCATTTGTCGAGTGCTTCAGTGGCTTCAAGTCTTTAATGTCTGTTCTCTCAAAGACAGGCGCAGGACATCGCCCTCCGCTGCCTTCGTCGCTGGCGTTCGCCCTTCCTACCTGCCTGGTTCGCTCGGCTTCTTCGACCTCTAGGCATTGCTGCTGCGCCTCGCTGAGCTGCTGCTCCAGTTCTGCCAGCTCCGCTTGCCACGCCTCGAGCATGGAGCAAAGCGATGTGTGGCGGCAAGAGTGGTCCTCCACCAGCATTTGGGTGAAGTGCAAACATTGAGGGAAAGCATCCACCATGAATCTGAAATGATCGGTGGATACTTACTAACATCATCTAACATCTATGATCACATTCTTGGGTTTTGGTTGAATGCAAGTGTGGATATGACTGTGAGAAAATAATCTAGAACGACAACAGGCCATGACCGTTGAGAATGTCACCTTGACCCGGGTCTTCCCAATTTCATATATCTCTACTGCAAAAGGACTTGCAGCTTGCAGTAGAAGCCGCCTACCCAGCCACCGTGAAAGCCGGCGCCCTTGGAGGAGATGCTATAAGAACAAGAAAGGAATACACTCCAACTCACTAACATGGGGGTGGAGTTCACCCCCCCTGTTCGCAAAGGAAAGTCGTCTTCCAAGGGACTCCTTGGACTATGTTCCCCCTGTGAAGACCATTTTCCTCTCCATGTGTTCTGTTCGTCCGAGTGCCAGCAAGTCAGTCTCTGGGATGTTCATACCTCGGAACTGGAACCATACCTGAGATGTCGTGTAGCAAGCATGTCTGAAATGTCATGTAGGTGTGCACTTAAATAGGAAAGCCCCCCTGTTCGCAATGGGTAGACTGGTCTATGTCCATGATTTCCCTTCGGTGCCTGGGAGGATCGGTTCGGAGGGTCTCCGTATCTTCAGGCACACTAGTTCACACTCACGTCTGTTGTGTTCATCCACCTGGTTGTCTTTTGCGTGGTGCTTCCCCCATCAGCAACTTGCGATTGGCTGTCGGGGCACCTGCATCTCCTTCGACGCTTTGGCCAGGTCTTTCTCGACTGCTGCATGTCCTGGGAGCTGGACGAAGAAATTCCAAACAACCGTGGCCGAACTGCCCACATGTTTATGTCACCTTGAATGAAGAACAAGAGTTGCTACACATCATATACACGTTGCCATGGTTCAGCGAGGCTGAAAGCAAACAGGTCCAGCTACATCAACCAGCCAGGGCAGTTACAGTAAATAGATGTAAATTGTAAATAGTATGAACTAGTCTTATTTGTTGAGACACTGTTTTCTTGTCTGCTGAATCAAGTGAAATGGACCAGCCTAGAAAAGTGGCTACACGTCCTGGGATACTTGCCAAGCAAGTAGGAAGTTCTAGGATGCTCTCGAATATTAGGCCAGTACATATCGGTGAGTGTCACATCTTACTGCTGCCGCTTTCATGAACATGGCGGAGAGGTGTCAAATGCAAATGCATTAGGCACAAGCTGCAGCATATCCCAAATCCAGCATGATATTCCAACGACACCACCACCCGATTCCCCCACACCAAGGATTTTCGCTCTGTGGATGGCGCGCTCTGAACGGCTCCCTGTTCACCAAGGGAAGATATATACCCCATGACCCCATCCAGCAACCTGAGCCATCGCCTCCCTCCGAATCACCAGCGACCTGAGCCGCTGCCTGCCCTGCAGTGAAGCTTCTGGCTTGTTGCTCTTTGACTTTCCGCCCAGCCGCCAGCCTGAGGATTCGATCTGTCATCAGCTTGTATCACACAGGTGCCTACTTGCGTTTTCGGGCGAGGAAACGGAACGGAGGATTCACCACAACTGCCTGGAGATAAGTGGGAGATAAGTGGAGATAGAAAAGAGATTTCCAAGTCAAAGCTCTGGGAAACAAATCAATCACTCTGAACTTACATTACCATTACAACAAGGGGAATTCCCAAAATCTCACAATTCTGTCAAATAGACTACCAACCTGTCAAATAGACTATACCCAGGTGTCTCTGTCCAAAATGCCCTACGGCACGCACCCAAAAACACCTCCGGCCTGGAGCGCCGGAGTCGGCGCTCGGCGGCCTGCGCCTTGGCGGCGTCCTCACGGTGCTGGAGCAGCTGAGCCCAAGCCTCTTGGAGCTCCTGCGGAGCTTTTCGGATGGAGAGGCGCTGCCAAGACCGACTCGTCGAATTTTTCTTTCACAGCGGTCGAACGGTAGAACCGAAGTCTTCGTGGAGGAAAAGCAGCGTTCGCTTGATTTTTGTTAGCACACCCTTTGGGAGAACATGGAAGATTAAAATTAGTAATATGGATGATGTGATGATGTCTTGACGACATCAAAATACATCCAGCGTCTACCAACGACCAGGCCCCCCCCATTTGGGGTGCTTCATGGACACAACCTCTTAGACACGCCAACGGAGGCACTGGGGGAAGCCACCCCGGAATCCGGGCTGAATGAAGATCTAGGACCAGGTTTGCAAGAACTCAGAAGTTTCTTTCATCTGCAGCCCAGCAAAAATCCCGAAAAGAGACACACTGCGACACTGTAAAATCATTGGTTCTGACCTGACCCACGCACGCTTGAATGATATAAGGAACTGGCGGAGTTGCTTTGAGTGTTTGTCCTTTGAGTTTGAAACACGGAACTGGTTCGATCTTTCATGAGATTCCTCATGGGATTCTCGCCTGGTCCTGGTCTCGTGTAGCTTCCCCACCCGAGTTGTCCAGGAGCTTCTTGAGCTCTGCCATGGCCTGCATCATCGAAAAGGGTGTTCAATGAATATCTATAGGAGTGGTATGGAGTAGTAGCAAAAAGGCTAGTGCAGCAAAAGGACACCCCTTCACAACACACCCAAAAGCTGAAATAGTCATCAAGAGTGGAAAAAAAACAAAACGCGCCATGATCCAGGGTCCTCCCTTCGGGACCATGTTCATCCCATTTGTTCACTCCCGGAGTGCCGGGCGGTGCGAAAAAACGTGCCACTGCACGTGGTGGCAGATGCGGAACTCACAGGATGTCGTTACCCCTAGGCTTCCAAGACCATTCAAAGAGTTCGGTTGACCTGGTTGCGTAGTGTAAAATCCTTAGTAAAACAATGGTTGTTGGAAGCCTAGGGGTTACAATATATACATAATACTAAACACTCTATAATTTGCCTTAATGCACTTTACAAAAAGTCCTGTCCACAGCTGACGTTGAGGCAACAAACCCCGACTCTCGCCAACAAATGCATACATGACAACTAGGGCTGCTTGAGAAGTTCTGAGCTGAGTTTGAGGTTGCTTTTGTATTGAGTGAGGAGGTGAGGAGCTGTGGGCCCAAGAACATGAGCATGAATGAATTCCTGCAAGCGTGCTTGGACGCTCGTGAACAAAGTGTCTTTTTGTTGAAAAGGGTGTGATTCATGCATGTACAAGGCAGGTGGGTTGAAGTGGGTTGCGGCCGCAATTCCAAGCATCTGCAAAAGCTGCCTGATTCAAAACATCTCAGCCTACCTTGTGGGTTCTTGCATATCCAATACTGGTGGATGGACTAGTAGATGGAGAGTAGAGTCAGCACAATCCCCAAGTTCGGTGGTCAAAATATGAACCCATATGAACCCTAATGTCGACCATGTAGGGGTGTCTGTAGGGGTTAATGCCATCGATTCGGAAGCGACGATGTAAAACCGTTTGGGGAACGGCCTGGTTCAACTGCTCCACAGCCTTGGAGCTTAAGACCGTGGCCTGGAGCGAAGGTGAGCGAGAAGGACCGTGTGTTTTGAGATCTCCAAGCCGCACGCAGAAAGGAACTCAAAGGCACTAAACATGGGTTAATTACATGGTTCCTGGATGGCATTCTGTTTAGTCGCTATACGACCGTGCAAGGTGGCAATCTGAACTTCAAAGGGTTGCATTTTGTTGAGGCAAGCTTTGCCCCTCAAGAATACTGCATAGCTGACTAAACATTGAAACAAACCGCTCAACAATGCAATTGAAATGCACACCTCCGCCTTTCATAGCATCTTGCAACAACTATACCTACCATTACCTACCCATGTAGCTCCTTGTTGCACTCCGAATCCCAAACCACAAATCCATTGATCCATAGTGCAATCTTGCGGATTGACAGTCGTTTCGCATGGGGAACGACCTCGCCTTCGCCAAGGACTTCTCCGCTTGCGCTTTCTCCTTCTCCGCGCTCCTTCGCGCCTGGCCGAGGAAGGCGACGGCGCACGGAGGCGCGCTGACGAGGCAGGAGACCACCCCTGGAGCACACGAGCGGCGCGACGACTCCAACAGCTAGGAGTGATGAACAGGAAAACGGTGACCAAAAAAAGGAAGCACAATGGATATTATGTATAGAGGCCATGTAGTGAATCAATGGATGTGTGTGGAAGTGGATATAGTCATGCTAAAAGCGCCATAGAATGTGAGACAATCCCAAAGCCTGGAAATACATATGTGCTTGGAACCTATTTCTCAGTCGATCCTCAGAATGAAGATGTGATAATCCAACCTTGGCAGTCCTTGTGAATCCCCTCCTGTATAGATCCCCTGGGCTTCTAACAACCCTTGCTTTACATTGTTGCATTGGTCTTTACCAAAGAGCCATTGTTTAAATAATTAAGGGCTCTAGACTACAGAACCAGGTCAATCTCCAGCTAGGCTTCTCCTGTTTCACTAGTCCTCTGAGTCCTTCTCATCACAACGCCGTTTGAGCGGCCGCGAGCGGTTGGCGCACCGCTTGGGAGGTCTTCAGCGGCACGGAGCCACTGTGGCCCAAGCCCTGCATGACGATGTTCATCTCCGCTTGGCACCTGAGGATGACGTTTTCCCTTTGTTTTTCTCCAAAAATTTCAACATCGCAAAAGAAAAGGCGCAGAAATGATCAGATTGCATGATTGGACTTGACTTTAGTTGCATCTTCCAACCACAAACGGCAAAGAAAACCTTGATCTTTTAGAATGCCTTGCAACTTGCAACATAGAAATTGTGGAGAACTCCGGGCGTGGTGCTCTCCCAAGTGGTGATTTAGATGGGGCCCCAGTTCTTGGTGGTGGTATTTTGTCCAGTTCTTGGTGTCCTCCCCCCCTGTCCAGATCTTCATATTGCATATACAAAGGGTGCTGAAGAGTCCGTGAACTCTATGGGATGGGTCAAGAGAAGTAGAGGGAAACTTGATGAAGACCGTCTGGAAGCGTAGCATCTTCGTTCGCTCTTTCTTCAAAGCGCTTAGACCGACCTACTTATATGGATCTCCAGCATGGCACCATTGGGTGGTCCTGGCATGTGTTTCTTTTAGGGACGTGCGCATGTCTGACCTGAGAGTCGTAAGATTCAGTATATACTGGTGCAAAAGGAACATGGTCTTCATGTGGCTCACCTAGCTAGCAGCCGATCCCGCAAGAGCACGAGGGATGCCAGGGATGCACCATATTGCAACCCTGAGACCATCTAATTGAAAAGAATTTGATAAAATCAACCATGACTTACAAAGAGGGTAGTTTTGAGTCTCCAAAGTATATACTGCAGTAAGTGGATGTTCTGGGCACTCATTTCTAACTGGTGGAAATACGTCTTTCGTGCCACCAAACGCACATATATGGACCTGGATGATGAAGGGATCTGCTAGACACGGCTCCTTTCGGGCCAGACTACCTCAAGGATGGGCCAAAGCACTCCTCATAGCGGCTCTCGATCTCCAGCAATTTCTCCTCAGATGAAAGAGTCATAGAAAGGCGCATGAAACAGGTGTGTATTTAAATAGGGAGACCTCCCAAAGACCCCTTGAAGAAGGACAATAGACCTAAACCCATGGGTTTGGAGTACCAAATTACACCCCCACATTAAGAATGTGAGTTTGCCCAAACTCTGGCGTTTGAGCAGGGCGAAGGCATCGGTTCTGCATGTGGAATCTGGGTGAATTACTAACTCTTGGCCATCTCAAGACATGTGCAGTGCCGCAGGTCCTCCAAGACTCAATGAGGGGTTTGTGTCATGAAGTGAACCTTACCAGGAGTCACAAAGGGGTTGTGTTTAGTCCCCAAGTGAGTGGATAATGGGCACCCCTAACCATTAAGCACCCTTTTGTGACTGCTGGCATGTGTTCTTTTGCAAGTTTTCTTTTTCTTCACGCCACGTCCCACGTTTGCCGGATTTACTGGTGTCATCATCTGGTTTGCCAGGAAACTCTCGATTTTGAATATCTCCAGAACCTTTGTGTAAATCCGGTATATCAGTGCAAAATGGTTTGTTACTGTAAGCCTTGGCTTGACTTGAGCAACACCATGAATATTGCAGAAGCAAGCAATGGGCAGGCAGCAAACCAACGAGCAACACTTAGGCCAGACCCGGACTTTGGGAAGTCTCGCACCCCATCTCATGAACTCCGTCTAAACACCGCAACTTTTGGACGTATAAGGCCATCCCACCTTTGAAGTGGTAGTTAAATTCTTCTTCCTGCTTGGCTGCCTTTTCTGCTTCTTCTCTCCATGGCTCCCACTCGTCATCCATCGATCTTTTGGCCTCGCCATGTGCCTGTAGAGCTTCGGCCAGCCGCGCAGGCACCTGGCAGTTCTCATGTCTAGTGAAAGATGTTCTTTGGGGGGGGAGAGTTCCGCCGTGCTCGGCTGCGCCCTTCATCAAGTTGAATCAATCAACAGATTAAAGGTTTTCCCACTGACTGGGTAGGTGATTCATTCACCTGGAGTCTGGAGAGGTTCTGGCTTTTTGAGGGATGACCTGATTCCACCGTGAGACATGCCCAGCTACTGGGAAAGCAGCTTGTAATTATCTGTGCTTGGTCTGCGAGACAAGTTGCCATGAACTCGCAAGTAATATCTGTCCATCTCCACATCCGGAACTACTTGCGTTTGAGTGAGGGTCCTGCCATCTGTCAATCCAAGTCCTCTTCCAAGATGCAAGTAACGCGCAAGTAGCCAATGCTAGTCACTAGAGTCACTAGAAACAGTAATTAAACCAGAATTCCTTACTCCCTGCGACCACTTCTGTGGGCAACCACTAGGGCGGGCCACCTCAGAATCATGAAAGACCAAGCATCAAGAACTCCCTCAGTTTCCCTGGAAAATCAAGGCTAGCCTTTTCAGGCCTTTTTCCATCTGTTCATCGAAACGTCTTCCCAAAAAATAACCACTTGCAGGTGATCCAGCTACTTCCCGTCATCCGGCAACCCCCCAGTCCGTCGACTCGCTGAGATCCGCTTGGAACATCCGCGCCTTGAAGGCATTCTTCGCTGTGTTGGCCAACACGATCTGAAGGGCCTCCCAGGGCGATCGATGTCACATTTTGATGGCAAAGCAATGAACCGTGGTAATTCACAACCCAATAGTCAGCGCCACCCAGGAGGGGTGGTTTACAAATCCCCCTGACAGAGCTTGTTCCATCAAATCGAAAAGCCGAACTGGGTGGTGCTGGAGATATATGTTCAATTCATATATGCAGAATATGTCAGTCAGTTCTTGGATTTGCTGTCCAGGAGCCCGGGAAAGTAACATACATATTCACCCAGAAACCGGAGATCTACCCAGAAACCAGGCATATATAGAACATCAATATACATCAACCTCTTAACCCAATAACCCCAACGTGTTGAAAAACCAGTCTCGATCGCACCTCCACCAGCTTCGCCACGCGGCTTTCCGCCGCGGCCAGCCCTTGGCTGGCCTCTGCCGCTGAGGCCGTGGCGATGGCCGCCTGAGCGTGGCCCAAGGTCGGCAGGTGAGCTGCTAGGGGGGAGTCATCCAGGAGCGCCCAGGCGCCTAAGGCCTAAGGAAGCGCTGGAGCTTTAGGCTTATGGAATTCCCCTTGATTTCCCAACACCTCTGCTTGGAAAGCAATCCAATGGCATCCCCCCTGAAATCATCGGCGGCTTTTTCTGCCCCTCTGCCTATGGAGTCTGGGGTCAGTCCACTCCCATGGGAGGAGTTGACGGGAAACCCCTGGTGGTCCTGGTCTGCCAACTTGATGGTGATATGTGCTTTCGAGATGTTCCAGAATCAAGTGCATCCTTTTTCAACTCCATATCATCCTGTTCCATCTGGTTATGACTGTTGTTTTTTGTTAATCGTCCTCCATCTATAAGCCATCTATAGTTTATATATAGTCCCAGTCTATGTATGCCTCATGAAAGTTCTCTATCTCACCCAGTGACTATTGCAGCACGACCCTCCAAATGGTCACGTCAAATGGTCACTCCAAAGCGGCTTCTTCCGAGAGCTGCTTCTGTTGCTCATCTGCAGCAGTCACTTCCTTCAAGGAAGCGTCCCTGGCTTTGGTGGCTTTCTCCTGAAAGCGCTGAAAGCCCACCATGGGCGGCACGAGGGGGCACGTTAAGCTGCACAAGGAGCGAGGGAACAACTATCTAGTGCCCTTGTGGTGAATCGTTGTGTCATGGTCCAAGGGTTGTGTCTATTTCAAGTGCTGTATGACATGCAAACGGTTGGCATGGGTACTGAAAGAAAATTGAACAGGGAAAAAAACACATCCAGTGAAACAAAACATCACCACCTGTGACCATGATATCCCACCTCGATGATTCACATGCAAAACTACAGCATATGAGACTCATTTGAGGCTAAGGAGATCATCCGAACGTATCATTTGTGCATGGCCGCGGCGCTGTAACAAAGACCACAACTGGATGCACAAAAATTAGCACCAGAAAAATGCTTTAAAAAACCTTTAGATCCAATTGGCACTCTCACCACAGGAACTCCTTTTTTCACTCTCATCTATAGGCCCTCCTGCCTGGTGAAGCCATGGGAAGACACAAAACCCTTCCATCAAGCAACACATCAGTAGGTTGTGAAAAAAGATATACCTCAAGTAGCATTAAATAGGTCAAGTGGTGTTAGTCTATAGTAGTAGTTGTTTCGGTCCTGTGGGAATTGGGACGTGCTTTGTCTTTAAATGCTTTCGTGGGGCAGGGTTGCGTGGGCAATACGACGGTTTTTCTTTTAAACAGATTTCGTGGGGCGGCCCGGGCAACCGGGTGCTGCTATTCCCTGTAAATGCTTTCGTGGCGCCGGGTCCTGTGGGAATTGGGGCGCATCCGGGGCAGCGCTATTCCCTGCAAATGCTTTCGTGGGGCCGGGTCCTGTGGGAACGGGGGGCACCGCTTTGCCTTTAAATGCTTTCGTGGGGCTGGGTCCTGTGGGCAAGCCGACTGCTTTTCCTTTTCAAATGCTTTTGTGGGGCTGGCCATTGGAAACGGGGGCGCTGCTTTTCCTGCGAGCGCTTTCGTGAGCCGGGTCCTGTGGGAATTGGGACGCCGCTTTGCCTTTAAATGCTTTCGTGGGGCTGGTTCCTGTGGGCCCATTTTTTCCTTTTAAATGTTTTCGTGGGGGCCCTGTGAGAATTGGGGCTGGGTTCTTCAAATGCTTTCGTGAGGCTGGGTCCTCTGGAATTGGGCGGGCCGCTTTTCCTTTAACTGCTTTCATGGGGCTGGACCCTGCGAGCCGGCGCGCGGAACCGGGGCTCGGCCTTCCCTGTAACGGCTTTCGTGGGGCTGGGCCCTGGGGACCGGGGCGCCGAACCGGGGCACGGCTCTGGCGGCTGGGTCCTGGCAACGCTTGCGTTTCTAGCCTTTCCCTTGTGTTTTTTCTTGTGCTAGATTTCGTCAAATCTGGTGCTATTTTTTGTGCTTCCAGTTGTGCTTTTTCTGGTGCTAAATTTCGTCAAATCTGGTGCTAAATTTCGTCAAATCTGGTGCTAAATTTCGTCAAAGCTGGTGCTAAATTTCGTGAAATCTGGTGCTAAATTTCGTCAAATCTGGTGCTAAATTTTGTCAAACCTGGTGCTAAATTTTGTGCATCCAGTTGTGCTTTTTCTGGTGGTAAATTTCGTCAAATCTGGTGCTAAATTTTGACAAATCTGGTGCTATTTTTTGTGCTGCCAGTTGTGCTTTTTCTGGTGCTGAATTTCGTCAAATCTGGTGTTTAATTTCGTCAAATCTGGTGCTAAATTTTGTCAAATCTGGTGCTGTTTTGTGTGTTTCCAGTTGTGCTTTTTCTGGTGCTAAATTTCGTCAAATCTGGTGCTAAATTTCGTCAAAGCTGGTGCTAAATTTCGTCAAATCTGGTGCTTTTTTTTGTGCTTTCAGCTGTGCTTTTTCTGGTGCTAAATTTTGTAAAGTCTGGTGCTTTTTTGTGCTTCCAGTTGTGCTTTTTCTGGTGCTAAATTTCGTCAAATCTGGTGCTAAATTTCGCGCGTCCAAAATGAACCTGCGAGCCAAAAGCAGATCGCTCGGAGCACTTGGCCTCAGCAGCGTTTGACTTTGTCGTGGCCGCCTGTGCAGTTTCTGGCGCTTTCCTGGTGCTTTTTCCGGTGCTAAATTTCGTCAAATCTGGTGCTCTTTTTTGTGTTTCCAATTGTGCTTTTTCTGGTACTAAATTTCGTCAAATCTGGTGCCTGTTTTTGTGCTTTTTCTGGCGCTAAATGTCGTCAAATCTGGTGGCCCATTTCGTCGGCCAAGCAGCTGTTAGGGTTTAGGGTTTATAGGGTTTTGTGAAGATTTGGTTTCGTCTTGGCCTCTGTCTAACCTGCAAGCAACAGGAGGTTGGAATCGTGACCTCCACTTCTGTTCCGCGGCCGGTCTTGCTTCTAGTGATTGGTGTGCTAGATTGTCACATGAAAATATTTCACTTATATAGATTTGTCAAATCCAGCAATGAACATGTAGACTGTGGCGGCTGGGGCTGGTGTTGGTCTGGTGCTGGGGCTGGCTGGGGCTGGCTGGGGCTGGGTGCTGGGTTGTTGGCGCTGGTGCTGGTGGTGCTGGTGGTGGTGCTGGTGGTGGTGCTGGTGGCGCTGCTGCTGCTGCTGCTGCTGGTGGCGGCTGCTGGGGCTGGTGGGGGCTGCTGTTTGGTGCTGGGGGTGCTGGTGGTGGTGGTGGTGGTGATGGCTGCTGTGGTGCTGGTGCTGGTGGTGGTGGAGAGGGCAGAGGAGGGAAGGAGAACAGAGGAGAGGAGAGGAGGAGAGGAGGAGAGGAGAGGAGAGGAAAGGAGAAGAGAGTGGAGGGGAAGAAGGGGAAGAAAGGGCAGGAGGGGCAGGAGAGGAGTGGAGCTTTGAGCATGAAGGAGGGAGGGGTTAGCATATTCAAAATCCATTTGGAGAGGCCCCAGGTAATGATGAATTATCCAGGATTTCCTGGTGCTAAATTTTGCTGGTTGTCTTAATAAAGAAACCTTTTTGCAGAGTTACAGGGGGGTGGCCGGACTCAACGTATCATTTCCCTTGAGAGCTTCTTGAACCTGCCTGTTCGTGTGATTTTTGGGATGCAGTTGATCTTTCATGAGCTAGGTGCTCTTGCTCAAAAACAAAGATGCCACGCTTGAGAAATAAAGTCAGGAGCCCAAATCCCTTCACTGGGGAGCACACACACCAGGTTCTTATACATAGATGAATGACATATGTACGTAGATAGAACGTCTGCAGTCTCACGTTCAAGCTTTGTGTGCACAACGCCCTGACCCACTGAACAGTAACCTTTTTACAACACATGTGGGAGAACATGTTGACAAGACATGATTCACGATCAATGAGTCTATCGCTACCTATTGGTGCCAAGGCAATGGCTGCGTTGATGTTCCCCAAAGACTCATGGACCCTCAAACTGATACATGCTCGAGGTCCAGAACCCTGATTTTGAGGATCAAAACCCTGGCGAACTGAAGATCCAATGAGCCCTTATGTATGTTCCGGGCAGCCCAGGTACCACGTCTGCCATGATCATCGCCTCCTTCCGTTTCCATTGCACCACCGCAGCCTGCCCCGAAGCTGGGAATTTGGCACTGGCTTAGCAGTCACACATGAAACTGGCTAGTCTGGAACAGCGACTCCGAAGGCACCTCCTGATTGTCGCGCCGTGACAACAAAGGGACAACACACAGGCACCATTTCTGAGATGTCGCGCCGTGTGAGCAACAACAGGTCGCTTCCGCCCCTTGGATCCTGTTTGCGAACGAGTCGGTGTGAAAAAAAAAACCAAGCAACTTCAAGCCAGTCGTCACGATTGGGATGGTGAACGGCGAAGTCACAATGCACATTAGCTTAGAGGTGCTACCATGAGATCCCCAACCCTCGCAAAAAACAGATCCTTTAAAGCCAGTTCGGGCTTTCTGCTGGGGAGTGGCAGTTGAAACCAAGAAGCAAAGCCGCTGGCAGCTACTGGTGAGGTCTGCAACTCGGGATTCCAAGGGCACCTGTCAACCTACAAGGGGTTCAGGCTGGTTCGGCTGGTCGTTTCACCAGCTCGCACTGCCTGGGCTCGCTTCACCTGGCCATTCGCCGCCTTCCGCGCGCCAGTGAGATCTCGTTCATCCTGAGGCGGGACAGGGCGAAGCGGCGAAGTGAGAGGCTTTGTGGATCACCATACTCTCCCTGCAACTAACATGGTTACGTGGACAACCCCCTGTTTGTAGAGGAAAATGGTCTTCCAAGGGGCCATTCTCCACTTCAATGTTAGTTCTAGGGAGTGCAATCACTATAATACCCACTATAATACCCACTTCCCACTATAAGTGTCCAATAGATCACATGCAATACCACCAACTTCATCCCACTTCCTGTGGAGCTTCAACGACCATTCCGCTTGGAACTCATTCTGCAACGCTGGTTGGACCTGATTAGCACAGGTGTCCGGGAAATTGGTTCCCAGGAAGTAAGCCCATAAGGGCGCCCCAAAAGCAGGGGCATCCGAACGAATTCTCTGGAAGTCCAAGCTGGGTCTCTTCCAAGTTTTTCTTAGGTGTAGGGTTTGAGGGTGCGATCTTCAGGGTCTATGAAGGCGAAGTCCAACCGGCTCTTCGAGGACCAGCCGTCGGACGATTTCCAGTCCAGCCGGACAAGGCGGACACCCAAGACAGTCTCTACCAGCAGAACCACAAAGGGTCGGTGATTTCACCCTGTGCACCCACTCACAAAAAGACCTCCTATAGTCCTTAATGTGTCTTTTTTCTATAGACTGTTGACCAACAACCCTAAACCTGCAACTTCCTGGGCCTTCCTAGGCTTTTCTCATGCTGAACATGAATCGACCTCCGGGTCAGTCTCGGTCTCCAGCCCTTCTCTTCTCCTTCTCCTCCCGGATCCGATGCTCGACCCCGAAAGCCCTTTCTCCGCCGCGGCCGTGCGCGGCCGCCTGGGTCTTCTGCAGTTCCTGCTGGGCCTTTTGGAGCGAGGTCTCCACCTGAGACGCTTGATCCGACGTCGGTCCGACGTCGGTCCGACTCGGTCCCGGGGGCAGGGATCGAAGGGTGGCGGGCGCGGCACGCAGTTCGGGTGAACGCTGGCACAAGGTCCGTAAAGCTGGAATTGTCCCAGTGAAAAGAGGCAGTTCTGTGTCAACATCGGGCACCAAGCACAGCAAACAACCGACTACGAGTCAAAATCTCACTCCCAACCGTTGCATCACAAAACGTTAAACTACAGAAACCCCCAAACAATGGGTTGACCGGTCTATTGTCCTTCTTCCAGGGGGTTGTTGCCAGGTCTCCCCAGGCTCCGAAACCACGACGCCTCCAGGCGAGTCTGCGCAGCCTTTCCCGCCGCTTCCTCCGCCACCTTCAGCTGGGCCTTCATCAGCCTGCATCGGCGCGGTCGGGAAGGCGGGAAGGCGGAAGAACGCGGTGAGTGATGCGTTCTGCGGTTGGGTGACGTTGCGACGATGAGGGTGATGGTAGACATGATCATGAAGATGATGGACGAGGAGCAGGAGGATGAATCGATGAGTAAATACATTTACAAATGAACCCCAAAAAGTGCGACGTCAACGCTTCCGGCGCCTGACTTCTGGTGCCATTTCTTCACCGATCTCCTCCTGAGGAAAGCACTCAGGAACCAACATGGAAGTGAAAAACCCTGTCAGTAGAGGAAATGGCCTTCCAAGGCGGTGCCATTTCCACTTCCATGTTAGTTCCAGGGAGTGTATATGAGTGTATCATCTTAAAAGGGTATGTACGAATCTTATACACTTGGATTTAGATGCAACACATTTTGCAACAAGCATATGCTTAAAACAGTAATTAGTAGTTATATATAGTCCTAAATTCTTTCAGTTGAGGAAAACAACATGGAAAATCCAAGCAAATTCTTTGAAATGTTTGTTTCTTGGGGCTCCGTATATACAGTGAACCAACACAAATGGTCGCGCTTTGACCCCGCTGTTAATCTGGAGGTGCAGCCTAGCGATGACTTCGGTCTACAGCCAAGGAACAGTGCATTATTTAATACCATGGGTCTTGCCTTCTAGAAAGAGGTACTGCCTACTAGATCTCGCAAAGAAAAAAACTGCCGCTATGGTGCAGTCCGCAAGCTTTCTCAACACTCCTTCTCTTCACCCTGGGGTGCTACTGAGGTTTCTAGCTTATGAAGCAATAGGTTTAAGCTGGTTTAAGGTTTTGATGGCCCCATCCTGATGGAAAGCCGACACTGGAAGAAAACCTCGTTCAAAAAGGCGTTTGGCTTCGCCTTTTTGCGGCCCACCCTGTTCCCCAAAAGTTCGGAACTGACCAGTCAGGCAGTACAAGAGATGTTTATCTTCGGCCCGAAGCGAGCAGTTCCCCGTTTGATCAAGGTCACCTCTTGAAGTCGTTGCCTGCTTCTCATGTGGACGTCAGACAAGCTCAAGCTCGTCAAGCCGCGGTCCTCTCCCTGGAGTGTCTGGTACAAGTAGGAGAAGCTACTGAGTCCCGCCACATTCGTGAGGCCCGGATCACTCACCGCTGCGCAGTCCTGGCGTTTGGCGCGGCACTTGGGCGTTTGGGCGTTTGAGCGGTCGGCCCTGTCAGCGCAGACCTCCCTGCTTCGGTTTCAGCTGTCGCCTCGCCTCGATGCCATGCATATCCCGGAGCAGCTTGCGGGTCTCGCCCAACTTGGGGTCCGTCCACTCGAAGAGCCCATGGATCTCCTCGGCCGTGAAATACCTGGAAAGCCGGCCGAACCGGCGGACTCACCGACACGCTGGGACCGTGGAGGGTGTGGAGGGTACCCATGGGCGGGGGTGTGGGTGTGGGTGTGGACCAAGCATGGTGTGGATGAAGAGATTTACCAAATGTTTTGGTAGAACACCCAGAAGTCTTGTTTCATCTCACTTGCTGAATAGAACCGTGATTGTCATCTCGTCCAACTCCAACATTCAAGAACCAAGGGGTTCACTATATACACACTATCATGGGCAAGGTGTTGGACACACAAAAAGGATGCTCTTGGTCTGCCTTTCATGGCCACGCCACTTGTGTCCAAGGCCAAGTGACCGCTGTTGCTGCTTGGTCTCCAAGGCCGTCTTGGTCAAGCCCATTTTGAAGACCTGCAACCGGAACCTGAGCATCCAAGAACACGGAAACAAAACACATCTACAGGAAATCCAAAGTTTTGGAGTGAAAGCCATGGTTCCCTGTAGATGTTCCCTTAAACCAATCCATTGAAGGACAGTCCAAAGTTGGACTAGACTGACTAGAACTCTCTCTCGACTGTTTCTATCGCACGGTCTTCAGGAATCATTGCCGGGATTTCCACCTTCAAATCTACCTGAGACAAGGAAACCCAAAATCTATGATCGAGCTGAGTTGGAAGCTAACATATGTGCAACCCAGAGATGTTTTCCAATTCCAAGAAGAAGGACATGAAGGTTTCCCATCCCAAAGCCCATCGAAGCCCGTCCAGGAGACATCTTGTCCTCTATGAGCCCACTCATGACCTGAGATGGATTGAGGTGGGCACCAAAAAGTCACAAAACAAACATGGCTAAGAAGAACATGGCTAAGTACAAATAACATCAAGCAATATCACATACAGGATACATCAATTGTATAGTAAATTGCATACCAATGGTATGGTAAACATGGTCAACACCATCAGTTTCTCTGTTCTTCTACTCGATCGGGTCCAGGTTCGACCCGACACGCGTGTTTTTCGGAGCATCGCAGCCAGAATGCGAACCCAGCATTCTACGTGCCATCTACTCTCTCAGAGCATCTCAGCCTAGCTTGTGGATTCCTTTGAGTTATTTGAGAGGTTCGATGGCACGCCTGACTTCTAGGCCCCCCAAATTGGCTGGTGCCAGTGCCGTGGAACTTCTGAAACCGCTTCGAAGTTAAGTGTTGTTATCTGATAACCCATCGGGTAGATTCAATGGCCGGCCAACTGCCGCCAAAGCTGATCAATCTGCAGAAACACATCGCGGCAGCAAAGATGTTCGGTGCCCTCTGGTCCTTCTGGAAAAGAACAGGCACTCTTCTTCCGCCACTTGTTTGTCCCTGGGAATGTCAGCTTCACGTCTGCAACAACGGACTCCACTGCGGTGCCAATTGATTACCCCCTCCCCAGTAGAATCCAGTTACAAGCAAACTATAGAAGGTGTCCGCATCTCATGCCATCTCTGGTTTCCATATCTTCTATTCCTGGCCAGCCCAGCACAAATCATGTTTACTATCTCAGAAATCTGCAACACCACCTATGACCCCCACACTCCGACTCCTTCAGCCCCAAGAAGCCAATCGATAGGTCTTCACCTCCTTCTCTTGTCCAATCCGATGTGCACGATCCACTGCCTGCCTTGCACGCGATCCACTGACTGAAGCTGGGGAACAAAAACATAGAAAAGTATTTCCCCAGGTTTGAGGATGTACCAGTTTCACCGGGGAAATCAAAAAAAATCCTCCAGAAACCGAAAACAAACCAGGCTACATGTCCACTGCAGGATTCCATGCAGGGTCCAAGATGATGACCCGGTCGGCGCTGGTCAAGTTGAGGCCTCGAGAGACAAACAAACAGAACTGGGGGGGTCCAGTCCAGCACAACGGTTCGGGTCCAGTCCGGTCCAGTCTGGGGAAAGAGGTGTGCCAGCTGCATGCGTTCGGGGTCACCTGCAGAAAGGTCACCATTGGACACCCATTGGAAGCGCTAAGTGTGTGTGTGTGTGTGTGTTTTAGTTATATATTATGTATACCCTCGAGATCCACATACCCTCTGAGAAGGTGATTTGAGAAGGCACTTGGATCCCTAGGGGTCATAAACTATATATATATATAAGATACGAGGATGTGCCATCTAAAGTGGTCTAGGGTCACATATTTTGTTTCTTCTGTAGAAAGTCCACATGCTGATTCCAACTGGCATCAATGACCGCCTTTGTTCTTGCCACCTTATCCATAAAACCTATACTCCCCAGCTCCTAATGTTCCGCGCCCAGCTGGAAAAGGATGGCCTGATCCATGGCCACGTGTGGCCTGCTTATTAGCGGAAGCGAACTCTCCACCGGTCTTGTGGTGGAAAACAATTCAGAAAGGAGCGCTGTGAGCATGTTTCTCAGTGTTTTCCTGCAGAAACAAATCCCCAACAAAACAGGTTTTGCAGGTGATCCTCCAGGTTATCCCTGTTAAAACCTTAATTAACATCTTTTTTTGGTCTTTTTCATGTTCTTCCACCAGTTGGATCTTATAATGAGAAAAACATAGAAAACACACGAAAACACACTAAAGGTTCTCCACCATCCTTCCAGGACACCGGTTTCATCTCGCCACGTCCTGCTGACCAGTTGTCAGCCGAGGCACCGTAGCCACCCACTTTGGTGGTCAAGAGCATGCAGCCTTAGGGGACGAGAAGGGATGATGTGAGGATCCAACTTGACGGGATTTGGAGTAGTCTTCAACTCGGAAATCCCATTTCGAACAAACGCTTGGAGAGTCCAAAAAATATCCCTATAGGGCTCCAAGTACCTCCTCAAACATTACTTTTGGACCCCTCCAAGCCAACCCCAAACACCGTCTTAGAAGGTGCTTGGAGCCAAAAACAAATTGGAGATCGATGCTGTGAGATACTGTACATGGTTGAACTATGTTGAACCTATAGCCTATAGATATATTCTTTTGGAAGCATGCCATCATGTGCCACCACCATGTATTGTTGTTTTGTGGTTGGCTACCCCAAAAGCTGCACAACAATGCCGTTTCGATTCTGCTGCTTGCTCTCGGCTTTGGCATTGATATTGTCAAGAAGGATTCGGCCGCACTTGCGTTGTCAAACGCATGTCTTTCATCACCTAACCATCAGTTCATCCCGCTTCATCCAGCGTCGCGACTGGCTGGGTCATGGCACCGGGATGCTGTTCTTTTTGCCCACCAAAAATAACGGAATCAACGACCAGGGGAGGTCAACCACGGATGAAGAAGGCGGCTGGTGCACCGCCCGGCATCTGGCAACCCACCCAACCGTCTGCGGGCTCGCCGCTGTAGTCCTTGGTCTCTTGGAACTTCTGCACCGCCGTGTTGCGCGCGTTCACGTCAGTCGATCCGTCGATGCGCAAGTAGCTGAGCTGGAGGCGCTTCAGAACGCAAAGCTCGACCTGGCAGAAGAGAGAGGTGCGAGGTGAGAGGTGAGGAACAGGGAAACGATCTTTACAACAAGACATACTCCCCAAAGAGGATTTAACCATAGGGAAAAATACCTTAAGCAAAACCAGGCTGGAGTGAGCAAGTTCCAGAAACGGTTGCTGTAGAGGTGACACACTGGCTGGCTATAGATATTCACAAGAGAAATACTCTGTGACGCATGACATGGAGATGGCCCTGGGAAGGCCATTCCATCTCAAAGACAGGGGTGCCTTCCATGGGAATGTGAGTGGGTAGGTTTGGCAGTCAATCGAAACTTGGGGGTCCAGGGTGTCTTCCATGAGTACTGAGGATGGTGGATGGTATACTCTGAAACCCGACCGCACGGGTGACCAGGCACCCCCTGAGTCGTTCAAAAGCTTCATGTGCAGCACACACTTGCTCCAGAAAACATCTCTGGCACCACCATCTCTGCCCCTCCCACTTTCCACTGCAATGCGCTATAGTGCTTGGATTGAGGTGGTGACAGGTGGTGACCTTTGACCCATGTTTTTTTCTTGGAGGTGGAACCGACTAGGCCGACTCCTGAGCTAGGCTAGTACAGAGTTTCCCTTAGAAAATAGGTTACAATGTCAAAAACCTTTTTGGAACCTATAGGAACTCACAAGAACCACATTTTAAGTGGAACCACCTTTTTGACATTATAACCTCAAGGGGTTCTTGTTGAGTGGATCAAACAACCCCTTCTTGTTGAGTGGATCCACCATCCCCAAGCTAAATCACACTCATAGTCGTCACCCAAACACGAATCGAAGTCCCCAAGTGGAAGGAACACTTAGAACCGGTGATGTTTACCCAAGTAGACAAAAAGTAGAACCAAGCCAAGCACGACACACGGTTTTCCTACTTCACTATAAATAGCTTCTTCTACCTCTGCTCTCTTTTCATTGTCTTTGGATGTCTTTTTGTATGCTTCTGTTGCTTTATTATGTCGCTGGTCAAGAAAACATCAAGGGTTCAGGATCAATGATAGAGTTCTTATTGAATTCGATGCGCAAAAAAGTAGTACTTGACCAGCTCACCGAGGGCACCCCACAAGCGCTGGACCCTCTAAATTCATACACCAGCATCCTAGCATTTAATCTGCTCATGTGCTGTTCTGTGGTTTTCTTGCAGCATTCACTTCTTTGTCGTCTGTTGCTTTGGAGTTTATTATCGTTATTACCTGTTTCTCCTTTGCTTTTTGTGTTTTTTCTCCAACCCTCACGTCAGCCCAGTCTCATGAACACGACAGGGTCTTCATTGAACATGAAGGGTTCCCCATTAAAGTAACTATTGGAGGAATATTAGCTTCAATAAAAATAAACAATTCTAACCGCTTTCCTGCTCTCTATAAGAATTCACATGTTTCTTCAAAGCCCCACAGCGGGGTGAACCACTTCACCATTTCAAGTTACTAGTAGAATGATAAATTCAACAAGAATACACAGTGAACAGCATATACCTGCCACACTGGTGTTCATTCCTGATCTACAGCTGCAATAAACATCATCAACTGGACTCTTCCCGGTGGCGGCTCTTCCACGACTCCGCCAGAGGATTGAGACCCACGCTAAGTCCATCATGCGAACCTTAGGAGACAAAATGAAACAGCACCATAGGTAGTGTAGGGTAGTCTATTGCTGACCCATTGGATATATTGTAAATATATATAATATATGGTGGTTGATCAATATTCTTTCATCCTGGAATGGCCATTCATCGCGGAAAAAAAGATATCTTTCGCGGATCTTTCGCGGCCTCATGGCGAAGCATGGTCCTACAACCATGTCTAGCTGCGAGTCTAGCTAACATGAGCCGGAACATGTCATAGTATCACAAAATAGGGAGACAATTGTGCCAAATAGAGTCAGGCACAGCTCAACCCAATCCTCGTGTCAGCTGCCAACACAGGGTGATGCAGCATGGGGAATGCTCGGGGGCCTCAAGCTGGGAACCTAGACTTTAGCGGCACATTCGCGAAACTTTCGCGGATCTTTCGCGAAATGTCACTGCTGCTTTGCCCGGGAAGACGTAAAATTTGCAAACATCTGCACAGCCCGTCAGAGCAGCTGCAGGTCGTTGCCTCACTGTCAGGGCTGTGCCTACCCAGATTGCTAGTCTGTGACAGTGGGGACAGGAATCGGAGAATCCTTTACGCACTGCCAGGGCTGGGCACGGAAATGTTGAGGCTTCAGTTCGTTAGTCTGTGACATATGGGGACACTTCCGCCCACTGGCTCTGCCGGAGGATTGCCTTGCGTTTCTATTCTTTGTCAGTTCGGTAGAAAGGAAAACAATGAAAGCGATGACCTTCGATAAATCTTTCGCGGAAAAAAAAGATACTTTCGCGAATCTCATCGCGAATCTTTCGCGGATGGTTCTAACAACATCTGAAAGGCTGTTTTATATAATACTCCTTACACGGGGTTTTCGATCAACTCCCATATACCTTATACTTGAGAGGAGGGAGACACGAAAGGTAGGACAGGGGGAAGAGAAGAGAACGTGAGAGGCAGGAACAAAAATGCAATGTTCGACATGGTGATTTATCCCCTCGGAGGCGACCTTTCGTAAATATATGTTCATATGCACTCTAAATGTTCAAACATATGCTCTCGAAATGTTCAAAAAGATTCTTAGGAAAACAAACTTGCCCCATGGCTCAGATCATCGGTGAGCATTGAATCGGAACATCATAGGATTTGAACTATCCTGAAACCATAAGAGGCTCACGAAGACGCTCCCCAGGAGAGAATTGACGTGCTTCACAAAACAAACTCTAGGTATGTATCCCCTCGAGGAACACCTTTCGTGATTGGAATTTCATATTCACTCTTTCTGAATGTTCAAGAGGGTTTCAACTATCCTGAAATCATGAGAGGCTCACGAAGACGTTCTCCAGGAGAGAATTGACTTTAGAGGGGGGGAGGGGGGGGGGGGTCTGTATTGAAAAATCAATTCGAGGGAGGGGTTCTGAATTGAGCGATCAATTATTAGACCCGGACGTCCAAACACTTGCTTCGCAAGACAAACTCAAGGTATCCCCTAAAGGGCTACCTTTCGTGACATTTATTCAATGCCATAACATGGAGTCTTTGGTTAAGGTGGCAACATGCGACCACACACCACTGAAAGAATGGTTATTGGAGGGAACATGCATAGTCCGGGGCGGTCTTTTAACCACCCATACTGGTGGTGCTGGTGGATCTGTGAGTCGTTTTGTGAAATACATTGTGTTTTCTTTTCCTCAGCTACCCGTTGATGTTTGGGAACCTTGGCAGAGCGTGGCCGGTGGATGACTGACTAGCAGCGTGGCCCGTGGCAGCTAGGGCACTCCTGTGCACCCCAAGGTTGATTTCAGCGGTGGATGGTAGAAACCAACCACTTGCTCCACATCAATCAGAAAAAGTCCTTGCACAAGTGCAACTCCCTTCTGATTTTGGGTGGACCATCTCGAATATCTGGCCGCCAGTCCCTGTTGTCCAGTTCGGGCAGGTCCCCGCCACAAGATTCGTGCTCTGGAATCCTGGGAAGGAAGGCGACAGGGAAATCCAGGACCCAGGAGCTGCAGGGAGTGTAACTTCTTGCCCCACGAATGCTGGAACGGTGCGTGTGACTCTGCCAAGCCACGCCCTGAGAGAAAATCAGCGTCCGGTGCCCCTTGGACGCCAAGGAGGGCAACCTTCGTCGGCTGCGGACGGGAGAGACCAAAGGAGAATCGGGTCAGCAGCGGAATAGGTGGCATATCGTCGAATGAGTTCGGAACACTGAGCCCAAGTCGGCATCTAATTCAGGTCTAATGATAGCCGCGCAGTGCCAAGTGACCCTCGCTCTGGATGCTAAGTCGGAGGTCAGCCGTTTGTCTCGCAGTCGTCTATTCTTTGCATCTCGCTGGCTTTCAACGTCTCTCCTGCTCCGACTCCCACCCCCATCCACCCCCCCCTCCGTCCAAACATCAGTCCTCACTTGCCCCCAAGAAAGGTTTTTCAGAACCCGACTGTTCAACTCTCCCAGGTTCTTCGGGTGTGGATCACTGGCTACCTCTTTCCGCCACACAAGACCGACGCTTTCGACTCGCCGAGGCGCAGCGAACTCAAGCACTGCAACTTGGCACTCTGACCCACCAGGGAGATGGCGTCACGCTTGAGGTTCCTCAGATGTCGCAAACGGGGAAGGAAGTGGGTCAGATTCCGCAACACAGTTTCCGGAAGTGTTCTCCCCGTGGTATTTTTTACTAAAATAGACCCAGCACCTTCCTTACGGGGTCACCAATGGAAGCCTTTACACTACATATGGATCTCCATTGGTCACCCCTTGGAAGGTCCGAGTCCAGGTATAGTTACTATTATTGTATTATGAAAATCAAGATGTATCAAACGTATCTCCAAACGCTTATGGACCCTCCAAAGGAGGGGTCTGGGGTCTGAAATCCCTCGGTGTTCGGGAAATCCCTGGAGGACGGTGGCACCAAGGCGAGGTCCTCCGCCGTCCTTTTTGTGCGGTTTTCGCGTGGTGTTCCACTTGATGTAGAATCTAGACTCATCAAGCCCCCCCTCTACAGTGAAAAGCATCTACAAACTACAGTGTGGACATGTGTAGACTGTTAATTCTTCAAACTCCCCCAACAAAATTAAGAAAGAAACCTCTTCATAGATGGGGGGGCTGACATCAGTCCAAAGTACCTTGCTGCCCACTGGTACCCCCTGCGGACTAACATGGACCGTGAAAATAGACCCCCCACCCAAACGCTCATGCACCCTGGAGGGATCCTACCCTCATATGGAGGGGTCTGGATCCTCAAATCCCTATGGTTTTGAGGGACCAAAACCTGTGAACAGATCTGTCTGGGCAGAATCCAACGAGTCTCATCTATGTCTAAATACCAGCAGTCACATGTTGGGATGCGATCCAGGATGATCCAGGGAGGGGCCGGGGTGCTCCTGTCACATCCACTCACGTAAGGGGACTAAACACCACCCCGAGCTCTGTGACTCCTGGTGTATGTATGTACGGTATGTATATATCTCGCCGACGTGACGTGGGCTTTCAGGGTCCATGTGATCCTCTGCAGGACGGTATGCCCCACTGTATTGCCCACTCATGTGTCGATGTGGATGCCGGTGTTTGTTCCGGCATGCTGAGGTCCCTACGAAGTGAAGACACACATCTTCACCTGCCTGGCCACATGGCCGCCTTCGGGGGCGCCGAGAACGGCGCCACGCGCCAATTCGGAACTTGGAGCATGGCATCATGGCCTTGATCAAATGGATCCAATGGCTGCCAAACTGTTGGCCTTGATCAAGAACCGATGTTTTGGTCGATGGCATCCTCGGGTCCACTTCTTGCTTTCAGACTGCTGATCCTGTCAGCTGTGTGCATCACTGGGTCGATGCTCAACTTGCAGTCCTGGATGCTCGAACAGCCGAAGCAGCCACTTGGGAATTCCAAAGAAGTCACGAACAGTCACGAAGAGAGCCAGCTCTGTCAAAAAGGTTCTTAGATGATTCATCCCAAAGACTCTTTGTATGGAAGAGTTAGTCCCTAGGCTTCCAACAACCATTGTTTTAATTGTTAAATGGTCTTTACTGAACCACCCTTAAGGAAACTAAGGAATTTTACACTACGCAACCACGTCAACCTTTCTTTGAATGGTCTTGGAAGCCTAGGGTAGTTACATAATTAGGGTCATAAATGTCTGTAACATTATGTACGTAACTATTCCCTCCATGGACGGTCCTGCGCGTTGTTGCACGACACATCACATGAAACTCTGGGTGGCGTCGGCATGCATCTATCATCACGACGGTCCCCAGTTGAAACCCCAACAGCGACCACTGGAGCGTGCCGATTTTCCCACGGCTGGAATGCGGCATGGCGGCATGGCGGGGGGCAGCTGGTATTTCATGTCAGGCGAAAGCCAAACGGAGCAGCTGGGCAAAGCGGTCAGAAGTCTCACCAGCTGGTGACTCTGTGCACCAAGACCAGGATGCTAATGATGAGATTGATTTCTTCATACTGACAGCAATCCATCTGCCAAATCCTGCACACTGCGAAGCAATGCCTCTGCGGAATGGCTTCTCATCAACACATCTCCGGCACCAAAGATCTTCGCACCTCTTTCCTCCCCATTCCTCGATTACACCTCATGTCAAACCTGATGATCCTGCAAGTATACCCCAAACACTCCATGGGACTGGAATATTATTTATATATATATGCCGCCCCATTGACCCCCCTGGCGATGAATCCTCCGGCTGTCAAGATCTGTTTCATGGCCTCATGGCGACACACAACTCGTCATGATGGCCACACCTCCCTGAGGGTTGAGAGGGCAATCCGCTTTCAAGGAGTTTGTGGGATTGTATTTCATCCAATATCGAGGTGCCGTAAACTAGGCAAAACCAACCAACTCAACCTTCAAACAAATCCCGGGCGCCGTCCTTTCGCTTCCCACGCTGCTCAAACACGCAGCTGATGCAAGCTAAGACGCTTCAGCATCCGCTCTACTGCTTTACCAGGGTCCGCAGCCTCCTCACATGCAGAGACGAACCTCGTACGAACCTGCTCCTTCGAAGATGTGGGCAAACGAAACCAAGTTGAACGTCATGAGAGCTATGGCTGTGGGTCATGGCACAGGGGGACCCTGGTTTTCCCCACCCCCTGGCAAGTCCACCGGGTGAGTGGCTCCGGGGCTCCCGGGGTCGACCCACAGCGGACCCTTCGCAACGGACCACGGCTTCACCGGTCCGTGGCGTCCGTGGCGGCCCAGTGGTTATAGGGTTCCATGTGGTCCTCTGCAGGGGGTAGAGCTCGCAACTCCCCACACCCACACAAGACCTAGACATGGGGAAGGTGTTTCGGACCCGACCATGTTCTTGTTTCAAACAACATTCTTCAACTCGCTCGAGCTCCATGGTGTGTATAAAAGGGTGATATGGATCCATGAGTGATCAACCAAATCTCTGGCGAAGGGACATTACATGGGAAGAAGGGTGTCTCTCAACCACCCGAGCTCTGTGGTGTTGGACAAAAAATGTATATTATATACAGCAAACAATATTGTTAGTCACATCAGTTTTGGTTTCGATAGTGATGAAACTGCATAGCAGTGACCGATACGAGGGGGTCACATCAGGGTCACATCAATATAGTCATTTAGCTTGCAGTTTGGTTGTCTCCATGTATTGCCAAAATATGGCGAAGTTAGTGTTATGGCACACCCGCCAGTCCCTGCTCATGCAGCACACATGCCTTTTTCCGATCATTTCTTGGTTGCCTTTGGTACGTACACACTTTGATGCTCCAGGAGCCAAGTCTGAAGCCATTTCCGGCGGCCCAGCTTGGAGTTCAACGTCTTGGGACTCACGATCTCTTTGTTCAAGTGGTGAGCCAGGCTCGCCTTCGGCGTGCGGTGGCTCTGCCAAAAAATCTATTTATTGCCCAAGCGACTGCCCAAACGAATTTGGGCGCGCCGCATCTTTGTCAGCTCCAGCCTCGAGCAACAATCGCACAACTTCTAAGTGGCCTTTCGCG